AATCGCCGGTATAGGAGTAATGAAAGTCTTTCAAATAAAGAACAGTTCTTTAATGGATATAAAACCCTGTGTAAGATCGTCTTACAAAGTCTGCACTCAATTTGTTACTGCCAAGTCCAATTACTCCCTTATCTGTCACAATGTCTTCAGGTCTTTAACAATGAGAAACGGATCTCATACTTCTTTCCTAACCTTTTCATTCGTTCTTTATATGGAAACGATTTTTAAAGTTAACTATTAAGACTTTTGGTTTATCGTATCCATTATTTCCACAGTTATTGTAATTTATACAATTTATTGTATTTACAAAGCGTTATTGTAAAATGTTCATCACATTAAACAGTGTTTTATATTAGTTTGGTAATATATGTAGCAATTTTCTTAATGTTGTGTCTATACTATTAACATTTTATATGAAACACCACAAGATTTTGAGGGAAACCCTGTTCAAACCCCTTACATTGTTGTTGAATTACCGGTACTAAAAACGGCAATTTTGTACCAAAATATTGAAATGTAGCCAGTAGGCTATAAAAACGCTAAACATACTACCTCCTATTATCATAAGCAAAGGATACTCCCCTCCCTTTAGGATTAGAAACTTCCAAGAAAGTAATTTTAATTACAATAATTTTAGTATATTTCTATATTGTTTTTTATTCATAAAACTGCTACCTTATCTGTACTGAAACATCAACTAAAAAAGTCATGTAGTGTGGTTAAAAATGGTTTTAAGCAGTAAAATCATCCAACATTGTCTATGTTGTAAGATCTAACTAAAAAATATAAATAAACATACACTCGCTTTAGTCGTTGTAGCATAGATACTATGGTATCATGGAACAAAATGCTCTTCGCTTTGCAGTTGTTTGTGACCGTATTTTCTGTGACAGTGGTCTTATCAGAAAATGGAATATCGAAAACACCGCCGTCGACGAGTTATGGACACACACACACGTTATGGATATATAGTCTTCTTTCAGGTCAAAACGCTTTAAAATATAAATATGTTTACAATAAGTAGAAAATTTAATTTAAAAAGTTTCAAACACATCAGCATGCTAAAATGATGTTTAATGATTAATAAACTCGCCTTAGTAAGTTTTTTCTCTGTCATTATTATATGAACCTTGAAAACCCTCCAAAAATAACAACGATTCTACGATTATAAATAATGGGAAACGTTGATTTGATTACAACCTTGATACTACAATTTCAGTATAATATAATTGTCTGGGTAGCCAAATGGTTTGGATATAGGGCTCACATTCATATCTGAAGGTAGCTGGTTCGAATCCAAGCGAGATCTTTTTTAGACCCAGATACCATTTGTCATCGGGCTATGAATTAATAATGCTATCTAACAAAAAGATCGACGTCAGGTAACAAGACCAGGGTTTGGACCGTTCCCTTTCAAAACGTAAAAATGCCACTGGCGTAAATACACACAAAATAAAATAAAATAAATAGGCTAGTAGTATTGCCTCTAGCTAACCCATGTTGACTGCAAGCAAGTGAACAAGCATGTTCTCACAGCTATATAAATTACACTCTTTCACGAAACGTACCTAATAGTTTTCTGTTTTAAGTTCTAACAATGAAAAGCAATAATATTTTAAAATATTAAGCATTTAATTCAGTAAACAGGTGTAAACAATAATACATATTAATTTTATATCAGCCTTGACACCTTTAATAGTAGCTCGAAACATGTACAGCATATGTAAACATTTGACACATTCAGACAAAAGTAAGTAAATCTTACCTATAGTAAAAAAAAAATAATAAAGATGAACATACATTTATTTACTTTTATTAATACATATGGGCAAGCATGTAAGTTAAATGAAAAAAAATTGATTTGCTGAATATTCATTTGGTTATAATCCAACACATCAAGTTTAGTTTCACTTAAGACTAAATTAAACATCTCCAGGTTCTGTTTATTTGGAAAGTAAATTGTTCACAGTTTTATTTTTTACTTTTGGCAAGACTATGCAACAGATTTTGTAAAACTCAATGTACTGTATTCAGATAACATGATTCGATTACATTTAATACCTCTGATTATATTACAAAATACGCCTTATAAACATTTACCTGATTGAAAATATAAAACAATTTGGTTCATGAGTGTTCGATAATTTACTTGTAAACCGACCATATAAGTTAACATTCGGTATTCAAACATAATTTTTAGAGGCATATGGAAGATCTTCCAATGATTTACCTGATTGAACAATTACCATTGTTTTAAAGCATAAGATCTTCCATCTATCAATGATTAAGAAACAAGTAGCTATTACATCTTTAAGGTCTAAAGCTTTTCAGATAAAGTGTAGGATATTCCAAGACATCAATCGTCACAGATGCAGCAATGCGTGATTTCATGCAGCATCATAACTCTTGTTAGATGAGCTTCACGTGCGATGAATATTTCTTTTATGTTGTCTGAATAACACATTCATGACATACGGGAATCTAAATAACAGAACAGTATGGATATATTTAACTTTAGAGACGAAATGAAAATAACCTCGCTCCGAAATCATGCATTTAATACTAATAACTGACGCTTGCTGGGGCACTTGCTGGGGTATTTAAGTAATATTCTTTACTTTGAAATGGCGACTATACGAATGTAGGCATTTTAAGCTAAGTATGAATAGAGATGAGTGTAGGATGAGTAGGGTGATCTTTAAGTCTTTTTAGTGACTAAGGCCGACATATTCCTTAGATACAGTTTTTACTTAATAGCATACAGCCAATGGAAACTATGGGACCTACAGTTTATAGTGGAATTCGAATCACATTTTGCCTTGTAACAAATGAATTGGTCTAATTAATGATGAGGATAGTACTGCGGATAGTCGTAGTTCTCACTAGTGCGGACGTTAATATACACCAGGGAGTATTGCATCCATAGTGCATGCCTATAAATATTTACAATATGTGATCTTCTTACTAGAAGGTCACATATTGTAAATTGTGAGTATAACTAACAAACTGGTATTAATATTATTAAATATTTGGTGAAAATCCTTCATGAAACAAATACTTTAAAGATAAATTGTGTAATCAATAATGTCACCTCTTTGATGAGATAATAATTTTCTTGTGAGCACAATTTGTCAGATCTGAAAGGTTTACTGGGAAGTATTGACTTACATTTTCTTATAACCATTCAATAAAAGATGCATTTTCACTTCAAATTCCAAGGAATGAACATTTACTACGGTTTGGGCTTGTATCATGCTAATCCGTATTTAGAATTTTTAGATTTGTGATATTTATTAATTTATAAAATGGACAAACCTTTCGTTTATACATGGTAACACTGTCAGTCTATGATTTACTACATTAATATTATATTTTTCTTTTCAAATTAATAGAAGTAGATATTTTCAAATAGGATATGTTTATGCTTTAATCTCCATATCACACGAATAAAGATTTATATTATTACCATTTAAATGGTAAACAAATTAATTTCCACACTGTCACTGTTAATTATTGATTAAAACCTGTTTAAATAGCTTATAGTTTAAAAAAATAACTTACCATTTTTAGAAACACTACATGGGACCGTTGTGGCTCATAAAAGAGGGTGCAATTTACATAACTGTGCGAAAATGTAAATTCAATTGTCTGCAGTCGGCATGGGTAACAGGTCATCCTCACTAATTATAACTATTGTACCGATGTTGTATATGCTCTCCATTACGCTATTAGAGGGCGCTGTTTTAACAAGACTTCTAAAATAAAATGGGCTTAAGGAAAAATGGGTGAAAGGAAACAGTTTTATTGATTATTAAAACTATTTTACTATATCATTGAATGACTAAAAGGCACTTTTGAGTGTCTAAAACTATTCCATTGGAATAACAACTAATTTTATACAAGTTTATATAAAAAAAATATTTTTACTACGATTTGCTCGCATTGAAAAAGTCATAACTATCTACACCACAGTTGTGTTGTGTCTACAATTCATTTGATCTTTTTCAATATTCCATTTCCTGATAAGACCGCTGTCACAGAAAATACGGCCGCAAACAACTGCAAAGTGAATTACATTTCAAAGTTCTATGTTATCGTTATATTTTTACAGTACACAAAATTTTATATAAGTTGTACTACATAAATGTTTTGGGTGATCATTTAGAAAACTGCTGCTTCGTGACTAGTTATTCTTTTTTAAGATGCACTGATCTCAGAAATGTAAAATTTCCTTACGGAAGTTTTACGTAACAACGAATCTCATAATATTAGGACCCTTAAAAGAATACAATTTAAAGACTTTGAAGCCTAGGTTCAAATCCCACCAATCATTAAACAAATTATCAATGCAATAATGTCCATGAGTTGGTGGTCAGGAGCAAATTTTAAAATTCAGGTTATCCAATCATTGAAAACAATTTAAATATTTTATGCAAGGAGATATTCCATTGCACTAGAGAACACTACTCAAGCTATAAACAAATTTTATTCTAGCAACATTGCTCACACCTAATTAGAAAAAATAATATAGCCATACTATATCTTTGCAATCATAATAGGGTATGCATTCGTAGGTAAAAACTGGAGTTGGAACAACGTAATTTGACAATATAGCCACTGGAGTCCAAAGTAATAAAAAGCTTCTATATTATTCCCTGAACACACAAACAGTAAATGGTTGTGGCAACCACCAGGGAGTTTTAAAATAGAGAGAAAGAAAATAACAATCAGAATTTATTTTTTCTCCGCTATTGTGAAAAAAGAACTGGTAAATTAGAACGGTCAATTGAAAACAGATGCTTAAACACTTAATAAAACGTATATTGGGTAGATACATTTATTTATATTGGTGTTTACATAAAGTCTCATTCTTAATAAAACACAAGTTTATCTTCCATTTGCAAGAAAAGAACTGTAACAATTTATATTGTCAGGTAGTTCTACCAGTGTTTAAACCATGGTAGCATTCCCTTCATGTACACCTCTATACAACTAAGACGTTCAAATGTATTAGCTTTCCAAGCTAGTAAGGGATACATGTCTACCTTAACAATTAAAATCCTAATACAATATTGTTTCGATTCTGTTTCAAGAAGAGAGGTATTCTGGTATGAGGAATTGATGGACTGCGTAGTATGCTGGGCACTAAAACAATCAAGAAGTATGTATACATTTATTAGGTACAGACTCCAACAGTCCTACACGTTTCTTTTGAATATAAACAAGGTGGTAAAAGTAGGTTTCTCGTCGTACCCTAGACAGTACACTTGGATGCCCGTAGGGAGGGCCGGATATCCAAAAATCAGCCAATCAAAACTTAATGGTGTGAACCTCAACATTGAAGAAATTAAATAGATCATCGAAAAGTACAAGCCTACATATAAAACATTCGTATAAGCTTTGAACAAACAGCAACTGCAAATCGGAACCTGGTGCGAGAAATGTCTCTCTATAATCGATTCTCAATAAATATGTTGTCTTCTTCACACTTTGGAGGGTAAAAGAGGCTCAAACCGCAGCAGCAGAGGTGTCCTGCTGTGCATCACGACCTTGAGCTCGTACTGAATGTCTGATAGGCTGACATCGGTCGTGACCTTGAATCTCCTCAGGATATGTACTGCAACCGTCTTCATCATCAGCATGGCGTAGGCTTTTCCTATTGAAGGAAAATGACACATTATAAACACTTTGTGATCGTATTGAAGCTTCGGGTCATGAATACATATTATTATTATCTAGTTCAAGTTCGAACCATTGTCGAGCTGTACATAAATATCCTATTTTCGTCATATTATGGCCGTCATACTAAAACTATAATGTTTCTACATACACGACAAAACATTAATACAAGAATGCAATTACGCAAAAATTAGTAAAACGATCCAAGGGGAAAATGAGTCATGCGGGTAATAAATGTACTGTGTCATTCTATGACAGTCTTTAGACGAATTTAACTATATTATGCTGTCCATGTAGATGTAGAGAATATCTTCAGCATTGTTCAACATAGTTTAAATTATTATATTGAATATTACTCACTTTACACCGTTTGACCTATACGATTCTGTGAGATCTTTTCAAACTCTGTTTCGTAACTCACGCCGAAATTATCAAAGCTCCCACTTCTTCTGAGGCAGAAGTGGAAAAAAGTCTCCTACCAGCCCCAATAAACTCATCATTGATTGAAACGTCATGATCACGCCACATCATGAGATTATCACACTCGATGTCTTACTTTACAGCTTCAATTGCCAAACCAACCTTGTTAACCTAGTGAAATTTGGTCCTACCTAAGTTCAATAAACCTTCTTAACCTATTGAAAGCGTTGTTTCACGTCAATTCACAGTACTCAACTGTTTTCAGACTTTGACGAAGAGAGGGCAATGACCACCTTTTTTCACTTGTACGTCCCTTGAATAGTATAAAAATACCTAGGCAGTTGCGAGGCCCTCCACTGAAAGGAAGAAAGGCGTAGTTGTGCCTCTTGTGGTCAGGGTCTCGTTGAAGTTCGGGCGAGAACCTCCCAGGAATGAACTTGTGAGGCTCTGGGAATGTGTCCGGATGCCACCCCATGGCGTGGAGTGTCAGCATCACTCGGCTTCCGGTCGGCAACGTGGCCTCAGCTAGAATAACATGACTTGATAGTAGTTTAAGGTATTCGAAGTATTGGGTACAACAAAAGATCAAGGAATACACGCTTACTGCTCAAATAGTAAAGGTATTTAGGATGTTCCTCAAATACAGGTTTGCTTTAAGTTGTCAGAAATCAAGAACTGGCCACTATCTGTCCAGTTCGTATTGGGTGGTAGCCATCAAATGGTTCACTGTATGCAGTATGCATGAAATATACAGTAATTCACCAGCACCATTATTGCAAAAGTAAATACCACCTAGTCGTCTGTATAAGATTTGTACTTGATTATTTCTGGTCCATATTAAATTAGCATTTGACGCAGTGAAACGTTGCCAGTACATAAAATAAGTGTAGCTAGAACACATCTGGAAAAAAGTTAGAGGAAAAGCTGGTAACTACCATGTGAGATCAACAAATAACAACGAAATCATCAAGTGGTGAGAAAATAACTTTGCGAGCATATTAAAATGCATCAAAAATTGTTACATGATTCTCATTTTGGTTACACAAATCATTATTTAAAAAAAGGAGAATGTCAATTTTCAAGAACACCATGCTACAGTTGACCATTTCCATCCCTGGTGTTGCAAATAGTCGTCGAAGACACAAACCAAAACAGTCGTGGACACGAAAGTTTTTCTATAAATTTGGAATAGTAATAGCAAATACTTTTTGCTATATGAACAATTCTTACGAACATAGCTTAATATCCTTGGTGACTTTTCGGAGGATACAAGGGAAGACTCCGTGGATCCTCATCGTCTCCATGAGAGCTTGTCCGAGGTACGTCAAACGGTTGAGGTCGTCCAGGGTAACCTCATCATCGGACCTGGACCCGAGGACCTCCTCTATCTCGGCGTGGACCTTGTCCTGGAAAAATATCATTTTTGTGGAAACTTTATTCATGCTTTGGTTAAATGATTACTGTATGAGAAAACATAAATAAAGATATTGTTTATTCTATAATAAATCGTATATATTCAGCCGTCGTACACTTAAATGCATTATCATGAAAGTGGCATCAAAGCGGTACACAAGTGGTAGCTTCGGGAGTGTAGAGTGCATACAAGATGGATCCCACACAACTTCCATGGGGCATTCCCCTAGCCTAAAAACCACAATATTAAGTCATTCGCAATTTTAACATCCATTTGGGTCCCATCCAAATTTCAATGATTTTTGTATATTTTTATAGACGGGTAAAAGAAACGATATTTAACGGAGGCAAATGTTAGGTTTAATAGATTGGTATGATATCAACCTGTTTCTCATCGTAATTGGTGTTTATGTGGCTTTAATCTATACGATGAAATAAGTTAACCAACTCATTTAGCCTTTTTCCAGGAAGGTTCTTCAAAAACGCTTGTAAATATTCTCATTTGAATGTCCATGAGAAATGATTTGACACTTAATGAATTATTATAAATACTAGATTCTGTTCTTATAGTCTCCTCTTTCTAACCCGTTAACAAGTACGGATACAATACTAGTCAAATATACATTGAATTAACAGGGTTGTAATTTTGTAGACGAAACTGCAACCAATATAATACGATATTATACGAATGTAATACCAATACGGTTTGATTGTACAGTAAAACTACCCACCATTAAATCTATTATTAACAAAAAAGTGTTGTTGAACGTTAAGCTGAGTATTAGTTAGCTTCATTGAACTTAATATTTTTAGCACTATAACTAATTGTTCCATTTGGAATTAAGAAATTTAGAGTTTACTATTACAATGAGTTATTTTATCCTCTTCATCACTCAATATTATATACGTAATTTGCTTTACCTGTATTTCGGGATGGTTTGCCAGAGTAAGAAGAAGAAACGATATAGCAGCAACCACTGTATCCGTAGCCTGGAAAATATCTTAAGATTAGTTTTACGAATAAGTGTAAAATTTTATTTCCAGTTTGTTTATGTATAAAACATGATTTATTATTTGGTTTGTTTTAGAAATATTTTGAATGCTCAGTACAAGTTAAAGTGTTATCCTCGAACTCTGTATGATTGCAAAATATAAATGAATATTACAAGTACAACATCATTTTTCTTACTGGCATTAGCAATCACAACTTGACGAGATTAAATAAAAATTATATTCAGTTCTAGCCCCATAAATACATTAATCAACTTTCTTAACTATGTACTTAATTCATTACTAACTAATTTGCATTAAATTAAGTCCTATAGATAATTAATGTGTACCAAATTTAAGATAATTTTTATTGCGTTATATTTAATCGATTTTGAGATTTTACAGTGACGGTTGTTGGTCTATTATCTAAAACACACTGGATCGCTTGATCGTAGCGCAGGTAAAACAAATTTTAAAAATAATAACTAACTACTTTCAATACTAATTACTTGTTTACTTGTGTAGTTTCCTTCATTATTGTTTACAGAGTATTTATAAGTATTTCACTATAATAACTAAAATATATCTCAATATGTTTTCTGAATATACTCACTCCAACAATGACACCGTTGATTTCGTCGAACCAATCCTTTTTGTTGCTTCCATTGTTAACTTGTGTAAAAGCAACGTCTAAAATATTTCTTGGTCTGTAATCTGAAAAAAAGACTTAAAGAACGTATTCCTAGAAGTATATTTCTCTGTGTATACAACATAAATAAATTTACAGAGGTTTAAGTAATGTAGACGGATCTAGAACGGAATACGACATTCGTTATAAAGTGTAAAAAGTCTATAAGTAAATATATTATTGGAATTTCTGTGTTTTAGAAATTATACCTGTTCATCCTGTCATATTACAAGTAAGTTTCAAAGAATACAAGGAGAAATATTCACGTTTACAAAATCAAACACAATATTGTCCTTCTCTGTGACTACATGTAGACGTTAAATAGTTGTCATAAGCTGTTGGCTTGAATATACGATAAATTTTCAGCACACAAATAATAAATATGAGTTAATTGTACTTAAAAGACATTTTAAGATTTACTTAAATGCATATTTTTCTGCTTTCTGGAAATTCCACTCCAACCCCATGCTAAAGTTGGATTAATGTACCACCAATAGAGTGAGCAGATATAAGTTACAGATTTGTGTCGGATTCGTCAACATTTTAACCAAGTCAGTCGGATAGCACGACTTATTTGAAGTGATAGAATCACGTCAACTAACCCAGTAACAAAAACTATCCTTCGTTCACAATATTTAGGCGGTTTAAGGGGAAGAAATCTATCCCCCCAACTTGGCCCTTACCTTTAAAATAATAGCTCGACAGCTGATTAAACAACATACATTAAATACAAAAAAGTGGTGGGGGAACTTCCCCTTAAAACACCTAAAAAATAGTGAACGAAGTATAAGACAAAAAATGTAATTTTAGTCTGTAGCGTACTATGTAAGTTATTCTTTCAACTGTGCCCTTTTTTAAATTAAAATTAGGATACATATGGTCCATATAGATGGTGTGTCTACGTTGTTTTCCAACATTAATGATTGGGCCTAATACAAATGTTTAAAAGCTATAGGTTAGAACAATCTAGAATTTCAGCCCCTTGTCTGAATTTAGCAAAAGTTATACCTCTTGATCTTTATTTACTACTTGGGTTTAGAATAATAATATTTAAAAATTCAAGAAATATTGTAACTTTATTGGCAAGCCAAAGTTAACATATTTACTCACTAATGGAATTTGACAATAAAAACTATCTTTTTATAATTGAATCTGATAGCTGCATTAATGCATTTTTAAATAATGGATTGCAGTTAACTACCCACTGGAGGAGTATTTTAATCAATTATACTTCAAAGTAAGCAAGACAACATACATCATTCTACCACAAGAAGAGTGAGGAAGCAATTTGAGGTTTTGTGGTAATAAGATAATTTCAGCTCATCGCTAGACTCTCATTCACTGTTGCAGTGTGGAAATGTGACTTTTTATTCATATATGACCTTGACCTCTGCGTTCACGCGACCTCACTATGACCTTATCACGTGATTTATCTTCACTTTCCCGGTTCATTATCACGTACAACCTATTCCCACCTGGGCTATGGTCTATCACCCACCCCATATGAACATACAGGGTATGCGTACAATTTATTCATCTATATTTCATAAAGATATTTAAACTAGCTTTTAAGATATTTAAAACTCAAAAACTGTGGTGGATATTTAACGAGACAATTTTGGAAACTTATTCATGATTTTAGATTTTTACCCATTAAACCTATTCGTACTTTTTTTGTACTTACAGGACATCCTATATAATGTGATGTACACATTTTTTCAAGAGTTTGGTGACCACTTTGATCCTTGAGGCCGGTATATGACAGGTCTTTAGAGGGGGGGGGGGGGGGTTGAGTGAAGGGTGAGCAGGTACGCGTAAATTCTTTAACACTGCCGTTGTCGTTTTACCAACTGACACACCAATCAAGTGCGTTGTGGACAATCTATGAAGGATATAAATACTATATCACCTCACTTTCTACATCATCATCATTGACGTAGCAGCTACGATTTCCCAAATATGCTGAAAAGTCTATTTTATTCTTATTTTCTTAGGTAAAACTACTTTTCCACTTGCTAAGGATGTTCCCCATTGATGGCGTTCAATTTTTTGAAATTTTGTAGTTACATGTAACCTGTTTTATTTCAGTAAATCCTATCTAGAGCTAGATCTTTGCCTCTATTTCTTCATCAATTACAGGTAATACAAATGCATAAAAGAAGAGTTACCAAAGAAAGTTATATACCAAAGAAACACCATCATGCATATTGACGCATAGATCAGCAAAAAATGAAATTTGATATTAAATTGTATAAAAAAATAGGAAACGATTAAGCAGTACAAGTTTAAACAAATATTAAGACATCAGGAATTGTAATTTCTCGATTATTGGAATTAGCATTTGTAATATTGCTTTGAAGTACATCTGACATTTTTGTTTTGGCCTTCTTTGTAAAGTTTAAAATTCTTACTTTTCACAAAAATAAAAGACATAAGTCTTGTATACTAAAACGTTTAAAGCCTAAATGGCTATTTTGTAAAAATATACTAACCTTCAAGTTCTTCTTCCTGCTTGCTTCCTTGACCTCGCTCTTGAACCGCCTCAATCCAGTGCTAAAATAAAAACAAGTAAAAAATATTAACCATTGACGAAAATCTATCACAGTGGTATGTGTTAAAAGAACATTCAATTTGATAAAAACATAGTTTGTTTTTGATATAACTAACTGAAATAATATTCCTGTCTATCTATGAATTTTGGACGTATTCAAAATAATCTGTGTTCTCTTTTTATTTCACTTAGAATCCAATTAAACAAGGGTTTTGACTTAACATTTAAATCCTTAGTAAATTTATTAGTATCATTTCAATATTTGTTGAAAGAGATTTTCGGCTCTCAAAGTCTTAAGTTTGTCTGTATTACAAGAATTTAAGGCTAATAAAACTTATGAAGTAAACGGGTAAGCTGTTACTACTTATGAAAAGCCCACTACGAATTGTTAAAAATTTGAAATGATAACATAAACACATATGCATACTTGCAGTGGAACAGCCAATATTGACAAGTAAAATTACCAATGTTAAAAATTAAATAAGAAGTTTTTTTATTACCAGACAAACAGACAAATTGTTTAAAAGGAAAATAATTTTTATTGCAAATAACTGACATGGATTAAGCCTATATTGGCTGTAAAATATGTGTAGGCTGGTCACTTCCAGAGACATCCATACATACATTCTAAACTATGGTTATTTGTTTTATATCAAATAAAACATTAATAATAAAACTTATAAGAAGAAATTGTTATATAGCTTCTTAGCTTTATTTGCAACTTTATGAACTGAAAATATCGTATTTTACTGTATAAAAGGACATTAAAAATGCCCTTATTAAAAAAAGTTTAAACCATTGTTGGTTACATAATGATAGCTTATCTCATTTACCTCATCGATGAGATTGTAGCAAGCTGCTAGTTTTTGCTCTGCTTTCTTCATTTCCCTGCTATAAAGGAAATTGAATAACCATTCTATGTGGAGCCACACTTTGAACAGTCGATAGGTAAACATTTTGCCGACGCTGTAACAATAGCAAAACTATTAAATTGTCTTACTGCATTAAAGTTAGTATTTTTTAAATTTTGCTATTAATTTACCCAAGAAATTGAAGTGTAGACTGATGGCATAAATATTTTATAAATATTTAACACAACATTTTTCTGTAAAAAAGCGAGAAGATTACATAAGGTGTTGCCAGTGATGTACTTCTGCATTCCTGCATACGGCCACAGTATTTTCCGGGAGGATATGAAACCGACTTAATAGGCTGCAAAACACCGCAGTTCGTTTTGTCTACGGACTTGTACCATTCAATCTGATGTTCTGCATTGAAATAATAAAGAATTCATTCATTCATTCATTCATTCATTCATTCATTCATTCATTCATTCACTTCATAAGCGGGAACACATATCCTCTTTCCGGGATTCTGCTGGTCTGCTGCCAGCCGATGCTGTATGCAGTGTGCAAACTGGTTGTCTCATCCATCGGGTATTATCCCACAGAGAACCAAAATACCTGATGGAGAGACCTGTGACACGTGGAGCAATTGCTCAACGAGGCACTAGGCAGGACACCCTCCTCCACTTTCCAAAAGTTAATTTGGAAATAGGTAGGAGGGGGTTCTCCTATTTTGGCCCAACCCTTTACAATGACCTCCCCTATCAGATCAAAAGCCTTTCGGCCTTAGCTTTCTTTAAGGTTAAAATGCATTGTAAAGCAGGCATGTAATTTTTTGTTGACGTTTTATTCTTGTACATAATTTGTTTAGATGACTTGTAAATATGTAGTTTTAGTGACGTGAGTTATTCTGTAAACCAATATTGTATTGAGAAGCGCTCAATAAAGGCATTTTGATTTGATTTGAATATAACATTTTACAAATAAGTGCTTATTGGATGATTACTCACTCATTTAAAAGATCAAATATGTCCTGTTTTGCTTCAACTGACAATGGTTTGCTTGCGATAACAGTTCCTGTGAACAAAAGATGTATTAAAATTACACTCAACCTGTTTGTACGAAAAAGCAGTAGTTATTGATACGGTAGCTACATTACTATATCGTCATACCATATTCAATATTTTATCATATCAGTACGGTCCACGCTATTTATCCATACATTTTATTTTTTATGTACCATTTTTACTCCAAACCTAAAATTTAGCAGTTAATCTAACTTACAGAAAATTTGCGTCTCATATAAGGCCTATGTTTTGCAAATAGTGTTTTTTTCGCTATTGGTATTTGAGAATCGTTGCAAGGTACTTGGCAGCAGATATATTAAGTTATATACAATTAGTAAACTATTACCATGCGATTGCTAAACGCTACTTCCTAATCTATTTAGGAATAAAAGATATTTTTGTGGGAGGAGGTATAAATGTATTAATTTTCGCACACTGTGATGCTCAATGTGCTCTCAGTGGTGCCGGACTCCCGCGGGCTCAATGTCCCCGGACTACCGGCTAAAGAAAATCTACATCTCCTACTACAGTAGCCTGGAAAATTTAGCAAGGCATTTTCTTCTTGTTTTATTCTCAATGCTAAGGCCAATCGAGATCGAGGAATAAAAGCCTAAGTCATACTATCCAATGTTTTAAGTAATTCCACGAGGAGCTTTGATTAAAACTAAAACTTAAGCCACCAATCTTAAAAAAAGATAACTCAAATACACAGGTTATCTGGCCCTTCAATCGATACATTTTTATTTACTACACTTTTGAAGCCCTAAGCTGACGTATAAAGGTTAGAGGAAAAACTAGAGACAAATTTAAACACTAACTCACCATATCTGTTTGAGACAGATTTATCGAAGACAAACAAATGATCTAGGATGAATCCATGTCTAATAGAGATAGTGGGACTAAATCTACAAAGAAACACGCTACAAGAGGCTCTCAAAAAGGCACTTACTCATTATGACGTCAACAGATATGCTGAATATCCCGTCCCTAGGGTCAATCTCTCCAGGAGCCTGTCCCAATTGACGCGCCAACTCCTCCCCGACCGCATTGAACTCTGGGAGAAACTTCTCTACGTTGGAGGGAACCAGCAGTGGGTTCATCAACCGCCGCTGCTTCTTCCAATGATGGCCTGACAGCATTGCAGTTTAGTGTAGGAATAGAAATAAGTTTAAAGTGGTACAAAGTTAATTATGCAATATAATAAGGTCGACTTATCGTAGTATGTTGTAAAAACTCAATTTGCTTATTTATTCCCAACACAAAAACATTATGAAATTAATTATTACAATATTGGACTTACATGGCAAGATGCAAATGGTTAAAATGCTAGCAGCAACAATAATACATACATAATAAACTCATTGAAATAAATGAATGAGCTGGTACCACTAACCCTTTTGTAGGCTTCATAGGTAATATATTACCTAATTGGAGATTTGAAAAGAAAACAATTGCAAGAATGGCAGCAATGTTATAAAGACGATGAAAAACTATAATTTAACTTATCAAGCTATAAAAGTCACAAATAAAAGGTCCGAAAATTAAAATATAATACAGTACCAATAAAAAATACATACTCATACGAGATTTTAAACTAGGCTACGATTTCCTACTGTGATTTCAACCTATGATGACACATAAAAAATGCATTAGAGTATTCCAAGGGAAAGAGATTCATCAGTGTTATTTTACTACTTATTTTTAAGAAGTTTTTGTCTTCTTATTGCCTTACATAAATTTTTGTCTAACACTATACTAAGGCTTAAGAAAGGCTAAAGAAGTGGTCTGATAAAACAAACTTACCAGGTGCTGTAAATAGCGAATTCCCCATAAAAGGTTTGAGAAAATTATAAATGTCATCCTTTTCAAGCGTGTGGGAGCTGTTAAGTATAACCTAAAACAAAATAATAAAATAGTAACTGTAAAGATTGAAGTATATTAGGTACCAAAGTATTTACTATAACTTAAGACAGGCTGATCAAAGAGTGTGACATCTACTTAGTTATCAGTTAAGCATCCTGTGTTTGGCTTGGCTTGTTCCAAGCAATGCAATTTGCTTGTTTGTTTCTACACTCAACCGTCACTCATATTACGGTTAAAATACACCGCTAGGTCACTTCCTCGTCTCAATTATTTGATAAAAACCACAGATTCTAGTGGTTGAAATGGACAAATTTTAAGCGCAAATACTATTTACACTAACTTTCCTAAGTGTCCCACCATGTCGTGATGGAAAATAAAATAATTTCTTGATACTAATCATTTCAAAATCATATTTAAATTAGAAAAATATTTGTCATTAGATTGATCCCAAATAGCCAAGGAAAGTAATAAATTGTTTATACACACCAAAGAGTTGAACATATATGTTAAGTGCCTGTGAAAGTTGCATTTTGACTAAAATACAGTAACTAGAAACGCTTTAAAAGTGAAGTTAGTCCTAACTCTCCAAAATTGTTCCAGAGAGTGTATGTACTTGTTCCTTCTGCTAACTATAGGGTTGGAGACACACTCAAATCTCGTGTTGAAAATGCCTTGTTTAAAAAATTATAACATGTTACTTGTAACTTAGACATATATATTTTTAAGAGCTTGTTTGAAGTTTGTTACAATTAGTATTTTATTATTTAAAAATTATGGGGAAGATGACATAAGATTCTTGTTAACAATCAAGTACGATAATTTTAACCTCAAATATTTTTCAAAGATGAAAAATTTACAATCATTCACTGTTTATGTAACCGTGAAATACAAACATAAACACTTAGATGTGTGAATAATGATTTAGTAAGTTGAATTTATGATTATATCAGAAGTATTATGGTAAAATTGAATAATAATGGTCCATACTGTTTTTGTCATGGATAGTATGGTAAAAGTAGTGAGTAAGAGGCCACGCAGCCGGGTGCCAATGTATATAAACCAGTAATTTGTCCAATCTCAGATACCTGGTGGTTTACACGTTATTGACAGAGTTCTCATTATCTTCCCCATCCAATCGGGAATGCCTTGCACGAATGAGGGAAACAAATTATCAAGTTTTTAACCTTAATTACAGGGTTTAGGCTAGAGGCAGACCGCTTTCAACTTGGCAAATAGCTTGTAGATTGGTAGATGAGTGGTTATAGTGTTCGCCCAGAAAGTTGACGGTTTGATTCTGACTTAAGTCAAAAGCTTTTTTGGTTCACAACTGAACCCAACTGTCCTACACAATTGGGCTTTTAATAAATGCTCCTGGCCAAACATCAGTCGATCTTTTTCAAAAACAAAGCTACACTAATAATCTCGTTAATGTTACATTTTGGATTAAATACTCATTAGTAGCGTGTCTATTTTATAATAGTGATACTTATAGCGATTTGAGTTACGAAATTTGTCAAAGTTTGAGTAGTCATTGTGACCCTTTTAGCAAATTTCCCAATAGGGAAGAAGCTAATACCGGTGGCACGGTATTTCCTTAATGTAAAATTGCCTCAGCATACAAGGAAGTCCAATATTGTGGTTTAGATACGATACCCAAATAGGTACTTAATGACCTTCTAAAACTAAAACTAAATTGGATGATGAACATTTATTTTTTTATTCTCTCACACGTTCACCTTTTTTAAACGTATTTTACAAGGAGAAAACACAAATCCGTTAATGAAGTAACGGTTTAGAGAGAAAACTAGACAAATAGGCTTGTATGCAAAAGTGTAGTTCCGTTTTTATTCATCAACACGTTAAAACAGTTCACGAATACATACTCCAATGCATAAAGAGTTGCAAAAAAGCTGCAAAAAAAAAATAAAAATAAATATGGGTTTTTTTAACCAAAAATAATACATGTTTATTTGTGAAATAAAGCAACAAAATTAACAAAAATAACGAAAGGTAATAAAAGTCAACAAATGTGTTTTTGCAGTTTGGAGTAACGGGTACTTCAAATTATTGATTAAAGTTTTGTAAGAATTTGAACTATTATTTAATTTCTCATAACCAACAACTTCAACTCTATACCTGATTATGTACCCAATTAAAACTGATTTTCCAAATCTATTGAAGTTTGGAAAACTAACGTGTTTTACTTTCTACAAATGATTTGACTCTTACAACGACATAGCTGCACCAAACAATATAGGGAAAACATCCAAGTCTTACCAACCCCTAGTTCCATTCTCTTGGTTATATTTTCTTAGTATTATAATCCCTGCCACTATTTTGAATTGTACTATTTATAACGCTAAATATGAAGAAATCATGATTTTACCTGAACATCGTTAGGGTCAGTTGCGACGAAGACGGGAACAGGTCCAACCCAGAGACAAAAAAGTCCTTTGAACTCAGTTGTAAACTTAACTATATTCTTTGTAACACCTGTAACAAGCAACAGATAAGTTGTAATATTAGTCAGGAAAGTTCTATAACATAATTTTAGTCTTTAAATTCTTAAAATATAACTTGAGTCTTAACTAAATAAATTAAGTCTTATAAATTAAATCATGGTCTTTAACTAAATGCAGTTTAAATTTAATTGTAAGGCTACACTAAGCTTTCCTTGAATTAAAACTCAAACTTATGATACATAATTCATATATTTTAGATACCGGTATAAAGGATTATGTTAAGTTATAATTTTTACTATCCCTTATGCAGTTAGTTATACTATATACAGTGTGTTTCCAAATTGTCTGGACATAATTTGTGGACTTGTTCCTTGGGCTAAGACAAACATTAAATGCCATATAAGTATGGGTCTCAAATGCCTAGATTTCTGTTTGTCGGTCTGTTTGTGATTTTTAAGAATTATTTCATATCTTAGACATTTTTTAAGATAGAAATTTCAAAATTCGTTAAAATGCGAATTTTAGTAAGTAAAATGAGCTTACAAATTTTCGTTCCAATATCTCAAGCCGTGTCAATATGGCGGCCCTACCATACTGCTCTGTAAAATGACAAATAATAAACAATATGGAAGTCCTATTAAATTGCGTAACCGAATGTAGAAGAAAACTGACAACTCTGTTGTTTGACATCCAATTTTAACAATAAAGGTCTCATTTGATTAGGATTTAAATTTTCTATCTTTCTGATCTGAAAGACAATTTTCTTAATATTTACGGTTTTCATGAAATTTTGAATAAAAGATTTTAAATGACCACCATATTGAAACGGCTTGAGATATTTAAACGAAACTTTGTAAGCTCTTTTTATCTACTAAAATACACGTTCATATCTTGAAAAATTCCTAAGATATTTAATAGTTATTAAAAATCACAAACATGCCGACAAACAGAAATCTATGCGTTTTAGACCCATACTTAGACAAACATAAGACAAACATAAAATGCCATAACTTTATGTGTGTCTTAGCCCAAGGAATAAGTTCACAAAATATGTCCAGACAATTTGGAAACACCCTGTATAATTAGCTTAAATTAACTATACAACAAAATATTTACTGTTCATAATATTTAAACCTTATTAAAAAATTGAATACGTTTAACCATGAATGTTGTAATACTTAAATACTTTTCAATGAAATGGTGAACATACAAAATGTTGTATATTTTACAACATACATTTATTATCACCATGTAATGAATCTTGTAAGTTGCAATGTAAAGTTGTTACTGTTAATCCACTGATAAAAATACGTGAAAGTGTTTATGTGTTTATGTGTTCATGTATGTATTTATACACATTTACTATGTGAGTGGTCAACGGTAATTATGCCTGTAAAAAAATTAAATACTCGATCCTGTTGATACTGACAGTTAAATAATTAAAAATACTTGTATACAAAATAAATCATTATAAATTGATTTAAGCATTTATCACAATGCTTTGTAGTACGGTAATTAATCACACACTAGTTTAATAAACTGAAGGCATCTTTTACTTCGTTTTTTTTCAGACCTTATTGTAAGAATTATTTTACTTTCATCAAATTTACCTGTAAATATCAGACATGTGGAAAAATGTATACGCAAAAAGCGTTTGATAAATACGATCTTTAACGGTGTTAAACCTATTAGAGAGTTTAAATAGTTATTATTCGATTCTTTCTAGTTACTTTCTACTTGTTTTAAAGATTTAACACACACCACGGCATATTGGCGAACTGTTATTTTATTTATATATTGAAACTGTTATAGTCACAAAAAATGAGCCACACTCTATACAAATTTACTGTACAGGAAGGACACATTTACATATACATTTAGTTTACATACGCGAACTAAAACATGCGGGGAGATGAAAGAAAAATCTAAATATTCTTCAGATTTAATAATAGTATGAGAAATACATTTGCTGTATCTAAGTCGATTATAGAACCCTGACATAATTAGAGACACATCGTGCAGCAAGTGACGTTTTTAAGTAGACAGATAATCAACATAGGGTAATACATTTAAGCTTAATGTTTAATTTTTGAAAACAAACAAAACTAAAAAAAAAAAAAATATATATAGAAACAAAGCAGAGCCAAACCACGAAAAAAGCTTATCCGACTGCTAAACTTAAGACAACCTTCTTATGGTTTAGCTTATCATTAGACATTAGATGTCAGTTGTTTATACATCTAAATCCTTTACCATTCACCCCGAAACAAGTAGCTTACTTGTAATATCGCCAAGGAAGTAGAGCGCGTTGCCGATAAGCGGAAGAGCTGGAGGCGACCGTAGCTTGGAGGCAGCCGCCAGAATGTGACGCTGCTGCCATCGGAACTGTAGGTAGAGCGCTACCAGCAGCAAAGGCAGCGAAGCTAACAAGAAAGGCAGCACCAGCATGGTGTGGCGGCAAGACAGTAAATGAGCCAGAGACGTACGGTTAGAGCATGACCTTCGAACTGACCGAATAATGGCATTTGGTGTTTTGTTTTGAAAAGCTACCGCACTTTGCTGTTTCCAGCTGCGGAAGGTTAAGTTGCGGTTACTGGATTGGATAATGCATCCCGCTCGGCAATTACAGACCTACACAATTTGTAAAGTCTTGTCACTAGTTGGTGGTTTCGATAAGGAAAAGACAACGTAAATGTGAGGATGGAATTTTAGATGGAAAACAAACATTTTTTTACTTTGTTGTATGTTTTGATGTCATGAGGGAGTTAGTAGGTTTTTTAGGCAACAGTCCACATCTGGTCTTGTACTATCTAGCGTTGATCTTTCCTTGTAAAGTGTTGTTACTAGGCTGATGGTATATACGTAAAATCAACCCGATTTCAGGTTGAACAAGCAATTTTATAATCTAAGGGAGAACAAACTATAACCACTAAGCCACCCATAATTGTATCCAGTTTTTAACTACATTTTAACCAATCATTAAAAACTGATGGTGATTATTTGGTCTGGAATAATAATCTTAAAATACCTAAATAAAGCTTTAGGAATGGAGTCAAGAATGTAACATTACAGTTAATATCAGAAGTATCTGAATATGTCACATGACGCATATAAGCTAGGCCTTTAATGTTAGTTTGATTTAATGTGGTTGGCACAGGTTAGGACTCAATTTATGCATTGGCTAGTGCAAACGAACAATTTTTATTATTCTGCAGAGTTTGAATCATATTTTTAATGTGTGTTTCATGTTTTAGGAATTCGTTGATGTCGACTGAATCTTTCTCTTTCGTTTGAGATTAAATTCAACAATTAGTGATTAATTCTTTAGTTATAATACCAGAGGAAAAATTACAGGTTTAGGCTTTCATATTGTTGGTTGAAATATGTATAATGTTAGTTAAATCACAAGGAACAGGGTTTAAATATCAAAACACCTTCTACATAAGTGGAACAGAAACATACAATATTTTTTTAGTTTATCAATAAGGATGATAAAGCTGGAAAGAAGTAAGTTTGTTTTATAGTTTGAGCTGCGAAAAAACTAAAGCCCTGTACGGTGGGTCTAGCACAATATATATTTATCATAGTAAATCAGGTTCATATCCCATAGCCAATATCAAGAGCTTTTAGCTGTTTACTGATTCCATACCCTCTGTTTCGGTGGGTTTATATATTTGTTATACGATTCAATTTGTTTATAAGTTTATTCGTGCAGTTGGTGGTTTTAAGTTTTTATAAGGCCTATATAAATCAACCTTGTGTTGAATACCATAATTAATTGAGTGCCCAAAGCTACATGGCATCTGGGTCCGGTATAGTCTCCACTTGGGATCGAACCACCGGCCTCCATTTTGAAGGTGAGCCCTATAACCACTTGGCTACTCAGATGATTCTTTAACGAGAGGAGAATTAACTCTAAATTTGCGAACCAAAAAAACTACAAAGAATCAATACGATATTCATGTTATAGACATTTTAACCTAATTAATAGTGGAGCATACATGTTTCTTATAAAACAGCAAGTTACTGAGTCGAGTCAATCCCTATAAAATTCAATGTAGGCTATGCATTTATATTTTTTTTAATGTTTCTCTGGAACGTAAGTTGCAAGTAAGAACTATGGTAGATCTTGTCAACCAAATCTATATCAACAGGTGTAAGACGAATCACTGAAGTACAAATCGTGCGAACACAAAAACACGTTTACGTAACACTGAGATAAGGAAATAGGCGCCTTAAAATAAGAAAATAAATAGCAAAACCTAGAAATAATTAGAACACAGATGAAACCATTGTTGTTCGATAGTGAAAAGTATTGTGAATAACATATCAAAAGTCTCCAAAAACATCTTTGGTGGAACACCACCATTTTTCCAAAATGGCGGCCAAATCCAGTAGTTTTTTGCTTTTTATTGAAATTCTGACTTTCCAGTCAATATTGTTGAAAAGTCGTCAATACATTTAATGTTCCTCCTGAAATTACCTTTAAAATGATACCAAATACATGTACCTACAACAAAAAATAAACCGCGTAGAAATAATAAAATATTTCAAATAAAAATATTTGTTATAAATTAATTTAATAGTCCAAGCAAACTAAAAAAAACCAGACACAGGGATCGTATAAAAATTTGCAAGTAAACATGTTATGGTTTTATTTTTATTGTTGTGGTGTGCAGAGTGACATACCAAAAGTTGAAAAAAATCAGTCCACGGGAAACCCCTAAATTAAGGAAAAAATGGCGGCTTTTCCCAATATTGGACAAATTTTGCAACAAAAGACACCACATGTTTTTTTGCACATTTTTCGAGATATTGACTTGGAACCACGACCGATATTTATTGGATGTTCCATACTTAATTTCAATAGGGGACGCTTTTTGGGCCGCCATCTTGGATCAGAAATATTGGATATGCCATATTGGATATAAATATTTTTTAATGTAATTATAGTGTTGTGACACATCATTATGAACTAGATTTCCACGCTGATTTCAATGCTGAAATCAGTTTTTTAAATAGCGTTTTACGATTTTAAGATATATAAAAACGAAAACTCTCCCCCATACATTTCTTATGGACGTTTCGTACTTTGACAATTTAAAAACACATTGAAAACTACCACAGTCTAAGGTTGTACTATCAGGTTCAAGTATGGCGTGGAAATAGTTCACCAGCAGATCCAACAGATTTGGAGTGGTGTTTGACTGATGGTACATATGACTAACTTACTTATAAATAACTGTACTTATAAATAACTGTAACTGTGTAACTTGGAAATTATATTTAGATAAATATAGGATATGGCCTTAAAAAATGTCAACAAAACGTTTTATGGTTTTATTTTGTAGTGTTGTGCAGAGTGAAAACGGGAAAAACTCATCATAGCTATTCGTTCAAGTATTGACTTTTATTTTAGCTATGGATTCCTTATTGGGAGTTATTTAGAATGACTTTAACTAAAGACAAATTTCAAAATAACAATAATTCATTCAATAGTTCATTGAAGGTAGGCCTACATGATTCGTTTTAAATTTGTCATGTGTCATTTAATAATCAATAAAATTAAAGCCAAACATTTACTGAGTACTTTGATACCAGAACGAACTTGTTAACATATTAACAACCCGAGATATAAATCTTTTAACAAAAACTGATAAAAAAAGTTTAATTTAATTTTGTGTTGGGGTTTGTACCTCGTCTATAACTAGTCTGTTTTAACTATAAATAAAACAAAATGAAAGTTAACTAAAATGAAAGATCTTTTATCACTGAATATTTTAGGGCTAGAACGAACTGCAAGCAATAATAATACCTGGAGAAAAATAATCCAAACACATTTTCAAAGTAACTTACGATACGTCCATAACTGATGTATAGGGGAGAGTTTTCGTTTTAGTATATCTTAAGCAACGAAAAAAAATTATTTAAAAATGGATTTCAGCATTGAAATCAGCGTGGAAATCTAGTTCATAATGATGTGTCACAACACTATAATTACATTAAAAAATATTTATATCCCATATGGCAGATCCAATATGGCTGATCCAAGATGGCGGCCCAAAAAGCGTCCCCTATTGAAATTAAGTACGGAACATCCAATAAATATCGGTCGTGGTTCCAAGTCAATATCTCGAAAAATGTGCAAAAATACATGTGGTATCTTTTGTTGCAAAATTTGTCCAATATTGGGAAAAGCCGCCATTTTTTCCTTAATTTAGGGGTTTCCCGTGGACTGATTTTTGCAACTTTTGGTATGTCACTCACAACAATAAAAATAAAACCATAGAATGTTTACTTGCAAATTTTTATACGATCCCTGTGTCTGGTTTTTTTTTAGTTTGCTTGGACTATTACATTAATTTATGACAAATATTTTTATTTGAAATATTTTATTATTTCTACGGGGTTTATTTTTTGTCGTAGGTACATGTATTTGGTATCATTTTAAATGTAATTTCAGGAGGAACATTAAATGTATTGACGACTTTTCACCAATATTGACTGGAAAGTCAGAATTTCAATAAAAAGCAAAAAACTACTGGATTTGGCCGCCATTTTGGAAAAATTGTGGTGTTCCACCAAAGATATTTTTGGAGACTTTTGATATGTTATTCACAATACTTTTCACTATCGAACAACAATGGTTTCATCTGTGTTCTAATTATTTCTAGGTCAAACCACATATTCAGGGGCCTAAAATGGCCTCAAGCTTGATGAACAGATGTACCACTATATACCTCCTATTTGGTAGACATTTCTGGTAATTATCATGTAATCGGGCTATCGTGCAGCAAGTGGTATAAGAAATGGCCTTCTCATCAGAAACGTAGGTGAACTACCATTCTCAATCAACTGTTAAATGTAAGATTGATTTGGATCAGATGATTACATAAACTTGCAAGGTATTTACATGTTTCTAACCTTACGACAATATTTGAATTTATTTGTATTTTTATCGTGTTTATATTTAATTTTAATGATACAATTAGAAAAATCAATCATAAACCACCTATAGATGATTAAAGCAGTGAGCATTTGTTATAATGTCACACCATTGATTATGGATATAAAATTACATGTGATTTACCTAACAGTTAGTGAAAATTTAATTGAGTTGTCTTAACAGTGATTGACTATTCAATCAAAAGTCCCTGCATCTACAAACATATTGTTATGTTCAAATGAATGAAAATGGATGTTCAATTGAGAATTCAAAGTGGCATTTGACAGTTAGCTTTCTCGATGAATGAATATTTGTTTGAGGCTCATTTTTGGTTATGGTAAGTTTAAGCTATTTATGAGATAATCACAGATATGTCCGATCACGAATAGTTGAAAAATTACCGCAATTATCTTTTTAATAACAACTTTTCCAGGATCATTTAATGTAGGCCTACAGAGGAAGTTGAATATAATATTTTGGAACAGAAAAAAAGAAAATACCC